TCCCTGGGAAAAATTGCAGAATGTGCGTGTGGTTGTTGTTGTTTTTTAAACTGTTTTTAACTTTTATTCTCAGTTGATGCTTCTGTAACACGAAGTGATTCAATCTCCACTGGCCACAAGGGGCGGTGTAGATCTAGATAGCTTAACTGATAGCCTATTATGTTGAGCTATGATGTGTATGAACCTGGTTCAAATCCCGAATAGGACGGTTTTCAAGGCTCTCCCCACTACTTGTCGTGTTCTTTTTTGGTAGATGGAAACTATAGTTGGAGGTCCCGCCTCTTTCATAACCTTACTGTGTTGACAGAAGCGTCAAACTCTCTCACCATAACAAAGATCAGCTGTACAGTGTGCTTGTCATTGTGGGTTACGGCCCAATGTAGTACAGGAAAAAAAAACTTTTCACACAACTATACTTCGTAAAGAAACAGTAGGCTACGATCTGCTTTACGTCGATGGTGATAAGAACAATAGTAATGATAATAATGTTGCGCTTCGGGTTTTTCTGTGTTTTCAGAAGTTGTTAATATCATTCCGTTTCCGGGTCTTTAGTTTGAAGAAATTCGGAGATAGCTTTATTAATATAAACTGATGATGATGATGATGATGATGATTATGATGATGATGATGATGATGATGATGATGATGATGATGATGATGATGATGATGATGATATTCTTATTGTTGTTATTATTATTATAACAATGTTGAAAGGGGACGAAACATTTTTTATTTTAACACGCAGACATATTTTTCTTTTTCAGATAATCATCCGGAGACGCCACAGCGGTAGGGGTCTGCTAGGTGGGGGTCTCAACTGTAGTTTTAGTGTGACGAGCGCAGACTCCATCCAACTGTCTTCAGTGACCAAGTCGCGACCAAACAGTGGAATGACCAACATGGCTCTGGAGATGTTGGACCCGGTGAGAGGAGGAGGAGTGGTTTGCTGGGGTTAATGAAGCTGTTGCAGTTAGTGATAGAAGGAGTAAGAGTAGGAGTAGAGGTAGTAGTGGGAGATGGAGTAGGATTAGGAGGAGGAGGAGGA